AATCAAGTCAAACTTGTCCCACTTGCTCAACTCTTAAATCAAGCCAATCGAACCAAACCGAACCAAAACAAAACAAAACAACTGCTGACTGTGTGCCAGCACGCATGCATGCCCCTTTCTGGAGGAGGCACGCAGCTCTGTACTGCTGCTGTGTGGACTTTGTGACCCCTGCGCCCGATGCGCATGTGACTCTTCTGTGGTGCATCTCCCAAATCAGATAGATGCGGTGTCCCACCAGGCTGCTGTGTGCCAGCAAGCGCCTGTGGCGCGCATACACGCACTGCCGTCACATGTCTCACAACTTTTCGGAAGATAGAACAGAACAGGCTTGCTCACTATCCATGGGACCATCCCCGCAGTGCCTGCTCGCTGCTATTAGATTATCATTAGATGGTCCCGGTATTTGACTCCTTTTTCGCGCGAACAAGTTGAGACGACCTGACGCGCACGCAACCGGAAATAGATATCGAAACAGTACCGGGACCGCCCGCCACGGCGGGAAAACCCCCCGGGAATTTTCCCGACGTGTACCCTGGAAAATATCCCCGGGAATTTACCACCATATTTCGGTAGTACCGGGAACCAACCGCCGAAGGCCGTACCACACCGAAAAACGAAATTCCGCATTCCGCCGAAAAAGTATCGTCATATTGCGTGACCGCCGAAAAAGTACCCCACCCACCAAAAGTTCAAGTGCCGGGAACCGCCATATAATAAATAAATGTACCGTCGTCATATTGGGTGACCGTGGAAAAGTATTACCAAAAAACGAAGTACCGGGAACAGCCTAAAAATCGTAGTAGTAGTGCCTTTCTTCGTGCGACGCCATCGTACACAATGACCCAACAAACGGCACTTGAAGTAAAAATCAATTGGGGAAGCAGCCCGTGGGCACACGGCAATCTATATTTACATTGGGCGTCAATAACGCCTGATTCAAGTGGTGGAATTCGGACGCGAGGACTCCAATAGTGCGTGCAGAATGCAGGAAGAGGGTTCGATTCAAATAGGACGCTACAAGTTCAACTCTGGGCTCCCGCTCCAACGAAAACATGTCGCGCCGAGCGAAAAAATACGAGGAGGCGTGTTTTAAGTTTTAAATGAACAATCCGCACACCCGATCTCTGCCTGCTTTGACATGACGGTGCCCCTCGCGGTACTCCGCCCTGCCTGGAGACCATAACGGTAAACTCCCTCCTCAACGATGATCGACAAGAGCAGAGCAATCATCGAGCGGACGGCACAAGCATAGCTGCGATGCATATGCATACGGTGCAAATACTCGGCGGGTGTTTTGGTGCGGTGAGACAGATGTAAGAAGCACTCCTTCCTCCTTCTTATCTCACCTTGTCGGAAACATCACCACGCCGCGCCAACATCGCACCACGCCGTGTCGCGTGCTGTGCAAACGTTTTTCACTTCAGCAGCAGGGCTTTGACCTATCGCCACGCGTTGCGTTGTTTCACCCGCTTCGGCCCCCAGTAGAGCTCACTCTGTAGATCTGTGTGGGCGTTGCAGCTGGTTGGGTGGACCGAGGCCCACGAGAAGGTCGGGGATGAAGAGGGATATTTTTGGGGGCTGGTGGTGGGCGGTGGTGAGGATCTTCAGGATCTTCTCGCTGGTGGCGGCTTTACACACTACGACCGCCGTCGGTTCCGGGAAGCTCGGGGCACCTCTAGACCACGACACAGACGCGGCAGGTCGTCATCGATGGAGAATACACAGACACACCGAGGAGGAAACTAAGGAGGGGGCTGCGGGAGCCGACGACCCTACCGTCGACCTTCATGTGTCAACAACGATCCAACACGAGCTGAGTGAGTACACAGGCTGGAGCCCCGAGCTGCTGGCCGGGAGAGATGGAGATGATGGCACGGGGGCACGGCGGGTAGTGTCCGGCGTCGCGGCGCCACCTGGGGGTATCCTCGAGAGCACTTTCTCGGCGTATCGCGAAATCTCTGGGGAGATCCTGGTAGGTTGCAACTGAGGGGAATGTTTCTCTGCATTAAGCCATTACTACTGCTGTGTACAGTAGTCTAGTCTACAAGTTTCTCTCCGTAGGATTTGGGTGAGGCCTCCTGCGCTGGCCGGTGGTCCCGCCCGCACTTTGTTGCCTCCGTTGAAAGTACCAAAGTTTTGACCACAAACAGGCCCTTGTACATTGTACTTACCCTATCTTCTCAACATGTTGCTAGTCTATAGGGATCGTGTAGGGCATTAGTGACCTGCACAGCAAGGTCTTTGCCGCATAGACTACTGTATAGGCTTTTCACGTTTCTGTAAGTTTAATTGAGCGTTCGCGAATACCGCACAAGGTAACACCACCGGTGACATCTACATTGTGTGCATACATATGTACGTGCATACCATATTTCCTGCTGTTAGCAGACTGCTGTACAACAGCAGTACCAGCGTAGAACGCCTTCCAATTCCGCGCAATACATCACACCGACCGGTGATATCATGCGAAAATATTGTCACCCGATGAGTGTTGTATGTGGGGTGGTATCTTCGGTGATCCTATTAACTGATCTGAGTTGTCATTACGGTTTGTGTTTATCCTGACCCTCAAGAATATTGTCAGCAGGGGGAGGGTGGTATTTGTTGTGTGGGGGGGTGTTATCTTGTGTGGTAGTGCACGGAAAGTCGCAATTCAGTAGTGAACGGCGCTTACTACCGCTGTAGTCTACACAGGGGAGGGATTGAAGAATGTTGTGAGACTTGAGTCCCTACTAATGTTAAAACTTAAAAGGCAAGAACCGTAGCCCGTGTTGATCAACATGGATGTATGCATACAATGTGAGAGCGCAACAAGCCGACCTCCGTCAGGGTTGATGTTACTCCATCTTTCCGGGTGGTGTTCCTCCTCCTCTCATGAACACTGGTGTTGAAATCTTGGACGCCCATTAACGGTCACGCCTTCCATAGACACGGCCAACACGGGTAGGTTGCCGGCTACATGCCCGTCCGCACACACACGTTGACACAAATATCACGTTTGCTTATAAACCGTCTTCACAGAAGAGGTGGGGGCCCGAATATGCCAAAACCACCCTGTTTTCGGGAGGGATGGAATTCTCGGACGGGGGCAAGGTGGTAGGGGACAAGATGCTGAACGCCGTGCTGCGGCAAGAGAGCTTCCTCGCGGTTTTCACAGGCAAGAAATCTCGGCAGTGTTGTTATGCCCAGAGGCTCTAACGTTGACAACTTGTGTGGAGAAGCATCGATCGCCCTATCATTCGGTTTATCCGCCCGCCAATGAGCAGATAATGCCGTCACTTGAGAACTTGGTGGTTGACAAGCTGAGGCCCGAAACGACCAAAAATTAAACGGAATACTGGTAGACAATTTTCTAGCTGCTGTTGAACGTGAGTATCGCTGTGGTCTGACCGACAATTGTCCCATCCGGTTTTGGTCCTTTCTGGATGTAATCGGAAGGATCTAGGACATGTCAATTGGACGAAATTCTTATCAGAGATTCTCGCACTTCCCGCAGGAGTATCCACCACCGCCGGGCATGATGACCTCTACGAACAGAGCTACCCCATCGTGCTCAACGGAACGCTCGGCCGGCTAATGGCCGCCGCCGGGGTGCGGTACGAGGCGGTCAACGTGGCGATGGGCAACACAAGAGTAGCACCGTACAGGTGCAAAACCACAAGTAGTATCCGAAACATGACTCCGTTCTTCAGGAAACATCGAGAAGCGACACAGATAACCATCAACCTCAGATTACCGCCCGCCCATCCTCCCGATCAAACGCCCCCCACGAACCCCTTCCCCTGTGGCCCCAAATCCATCGATCAATTTGTTTGAGAAGTCGACCTTGAGGCGGCCGGCCCTTTTCTTCTTTAGGCTTTGGTTTTCGTTGAACCGATCGAAAGATCAGCAGTGCGTTATATCGAGGTATGCTCCGTGCCAGCGGATGTTGTTCCTCGGAGTGATTCCTGTTATTTTTCACGCGTCTCCCGCTACAACGCTCCTTGCCATTCTTCGCCAACTTGTCTTCCGCGTCCCGAATGTCCATACGCTATTTCCCCCCCTTGCTTTGCAATCTCCATTCTTCTCCTTGGCATGGACCTATATCTGGACGATATGGCCGCCCTGCCAGCTTTTGCGTCGACAGTCTTGCGGGGTATGACGCCGACATAATCTCCTGGGAAATGGTACGTTTTTTTTGTCGCAGATAAAACCGCACCCCGTACTGAATTTAAGCCGTAGGATGGAGCCCAACGAAGGAAGACTAACCCAAATCGAGTGAAAGTTTCCCGCCTTCACCCTCCGCAATCACCTTTCCTTGTTTCCCCAACGTTCTGGCAGCACATGATGGTTGCCGGGAAACATGCAGCCCCTCCGGCGTTGGAGCTGTTCATCAGGTCAGCCTCGGTGCTGCCCAAACGCCCCGCGGTGCTCCTGACAGATGCTTCGCCAGTCAACACCGATTGTCCCAAATTTAACAAAGGCACCCGACTTCGAAACGACGGGTGAGTCTCAGAGTGGGTGTCCCCTAGCCACGGCACATTGCACCGCCCCAGCGCATCTCTATTGAGCCACTGAATCCGTTGGGAGAACATTAAATATCGGGGTGACAACATGGGCCCGCTTTTAAGGTGCCTTTATTGGCTGTGGTTCTTCGTTCGCCTGCTTGCTGCCCCGCGTGAATCGGACGTGCGTGGGTCAGTGAAGAAGTCCAGTGGCGAAGGACTCAAAATATCATCGACTACCGGTGACACCCCGTACGGTAGGCGTATCTGGCGCTAACTGAAGCGCAAGAACAACTCTGCCTTGTGTTGTATGTTTATCATCAGATCCCCGTCGCAATTACTTTTCGACCCAAATCGTAGTTCCAATATTTTCCTTTTGTCGAATGTGTATGCCCTTCCCCTCCTGCGTCTCCGCCTTCCCCACACCTTTCGGTCGTGCTCCTTGCCTCGCGCTCAGGCTTCCACTCTTTGCTACCCCATCTCTTGATTTTGACGTCGTCATGTTTTCCTCTCTTGTACTCGAAACTTCTTTTTCCCTATGAAAACACACTTGGAATCGGTGCGCTATCTCGAAGGCTCGTCGCGGCCGGCCGAGACAACGACCTTATGGAGGTCTACCGTGAGTTTGGCCTTCACAGGATGACGCCATCGAGTCTGGTCCCAGAAAATACTTGTGGGAACGAAGTGTTCGATTACCATCGCCTGTATAACGCCTCTCTGAAAGATATTCCGCGCCCCTCAAGGTGAGCGAGCCGAGGTTGTGTTTTCTGTGGTGTGAACGAGAACTTTCCCATGTTGTCGAGCGATGCAATCTGTCGGCTTCCCCCGGGGTCGTTGTGTCGTTCAAACCAAGCGGAAGCACGTGGTGGTTGCCGTGCGTTCGCTTCCTTCACGTGTACGTCTTCGCCGGATTTGGGATAGCACGGGAATGGATGACCGTTGTCCGACTCGAACATGGACTGAGGTTGGCGTACGAGAAAATAGTTTTTAGCTTGTCTTTTTTGCATTTTCTCGGGGACACTTCCGTTCTGAGTGCTGATCACTTTCCGTGCCCAAAGATCGCCGACGTGACTCAGTAACATACGCAAGAGACTAGCAGAGACAAAGAGGAAGCCCACCTCAAAAGCCCGTATTTTAGCAATGTGCACAGGGGTACACACAGCAGTATTATCATGCCTAATCTCTCTGGTGTGGGGCAGATGTCCCTTCCAGAACCAATGAACTGATACTATCCACCAGTTCATCCATTCATCAGTCAAACACGTCTGTTTGATTCCTTCCTCTCTCCCTTCCGCCGACTGTCGCCTGTCCGGTCATGAACGCATGTGTGTTGGGTACGGCGCAACAGCTGGCACGCCGGCCCTCCTGGGCACCAGCTAGTGGCCGATATGTTATTCATGCACTACGCAGAGGTGTTCCTCAAGGCTGTCGGACGCCTCGAGGACGTAGCGCCGGGCGTCACTGCTAGACAGCTCCGAGATTCCGGCGGAGAAATAATACCGGGCGATGCCGCTGTCTCTAGTTCTGAAAGGGAGACTCGCGAAAGCATCCGCGATCTAACGTCACTTCGAGAGACCCTTGGCTTGGTGGTAGAGGCCGTTGACGATAATGACAACGTGTATATGGGCGGTGGACGGGGCGATATCCTTCCTCCGCCCGCGTGGTGTGCGGGGTGGCGTTTTTGCTTGGGAGCGGGCAGCTACAGGTGCGCCAACACGTACTTCCCTCAGGCCGCGGGAAAAGGTGCCAGGCTCGTGGGCATGGTATCCGCCAAATCGCCTGCCATTTTGAATCTCGATCACAAGGAAATGATCGCGGAGCCGACCAGCGGTCATTGGGCGATGACGCTGAATGAGGAGTCTGAACGTCTTTTGGATTACTTGAAAACGTTTCCGCCGGAAGGTTTTCACCATCCGATAGACTTGAAGCTCGTTTTGGTTGGAGACGCGGCCTCCGGAGCAATCGAGTTTGAGTTCGAAACGATCGGAGTTCCCGCGGGAACAGAGGGGTGGCTGTCCGAGGAGGAGGAGGAGGAGGAGGAGGAGGGGAAGGACGACAGAGCGGAGGAACTGGTGGATGGCAACGAGGACCAAGAGGCTGCGAAAGAGGAGAAAGTAGACGAAAAACAAGAAGAGGCGGGCAGTCATCGAGCGATGCAGGATCAGCTGCAGCAGATGAATTCGATGTCTCAAGACTCGCGGGTGGTCATCTGCAAGCCAGATTTTATCACCCGCGTCGACTTCACGGACTCGACCCAGGTTACGTTCAGGGTTGATGGAGTCGTAGCTATAGCTGAGGAGCTTGAGCAGGGTTTTATGACACAAGGATCGTGCGTGATCCTTGAGACAGACGTCGGAGTAGGTCGACACACGGTCTCTGTGGAACCACTCCACAGCGGAGCGCCCTATGTGGCGGTTTCCCACTTGTTGTACCCGGCGTAGCTGACGGACTCAACTCACGTATTTGTCATGTGATGACGGTCGTTTTCGCCATAGCATATCCCGATGTCGGTAGGTTTGGTGTATTTTCAACTGCAAGGGGTGAAATGGTGTACGGCCCGAAGTGAGTGTACAGTATTCATAGCGTCACCGTCAAAAATTGTGATTGCAGGGAAGTCTTGAAGGACGCTCTTCTAATCCCTTTGTATCGTCGTGTCGTGTTTCGAGGGCTTTCTTTGTGGTTTGACTTCTTGGAGTTTGATCAGAATATCTCTTCTCAGACGCAAGCTGTTTCACCAATCCAACGAGACACCACTGACGTTTGGTAGCGTGCTGTCGGGGTCCCTACTCGGATTCATATTTCCGAGGCCCGGATGTTACGGCTGGCTGCCGTCAGTTTTTTTGTAGCGCGGTTGGCAGAAAAGCATGCGCCGCACTCATAGCCGTCGATCGAGGCAGTCACTTGCACTTCGCGGTACCGCGTATTGAACAGGTGCAGCAGCTGAAGTGACGACAAGGATTTGGATCATCCAAACCGTCAACGCCTTTTCTATGATTTCGATAGCTTGCTCGGATTACATTCCACGCGCACACACCTGACATTTCCAGTTCAATACTTTCGCATGGAAAGTATGGCGTGGAGGCGTGGTCAAGTGCCAGCAAGCAAGACATATAGATTGATAGATGTGGTTACATGCAACAAGCACAGAAAAGGCTCAAAACTTGTCTCTACACGTCCCGGTTCCCGTGCCATACCCACGCCATTTAACAATAAACACATCGCCACAGCATTGGACGTACATCGCGTGTTCTTGCGTAGTTCGTGCATGGCACTGTTTTCAATCTTGGTCCCTCCAAGCATCAGCTATGTATGTAGCAAATTTCTCTGCACCAACATAGCCACATCCATTCGTATACGTCACACGCTACCCTCGGTCCGTTGCAGGGTCTTATCTTAGCCGCGGCCTGTGCCACTTTGAGGATTATAGGTACGTCCGCGGTTGTGGAACATTGTCTCGCCTATTCGCTAGTGCATGAAGAAACTTGTCTCTGCGTTTCCTGGTTTGTCAACCAAGTCCGCTCTATATGGGGAGCGTGAGCCATTCGTGCGATGGCATTGTGCGTGCTTTCAGACAAGCATTCAGTCTGACCAGCCGCTGTCGCCGAGTAGGGTCTCCCCTCTCCCACACACCCAGGGTCTTGCCTTGAACTGTGGTAGCGAGTGGGGGCTCGGCCATCGTCCGCCGCTCATCGACTCGACGCGTCGACGCCCACTTACGCACGTCGTCAACGTCAAAGCGGGCCCCGAGCTGTGTCTGTTCCAAGCAGGGGGCTGCCGCTCCCGATGGTGCGCGCTAAGTAGGTGACAGATTTCTCTGGTCAGAGTCGAGGGCGATGGAAGGTGCTCCCACCCTCTCGAAAGTCCGTCACTAGGTCCTTCGTTATATCTTGCAGCCTCTGCGCGACAACAAAGCCCGAAGCAGAGATGATAGAAAAGAAAAGAGTTTTCCCATTGGTCACCGTAGGCGCAACTGAAACCAGAACTAATTCGCCCCCATGAACTCATAAAACCTGAAAGCGCCATGAGAGCGCAGAATCGCGGGATGTAGCGCGTTTGGCGCGTTTGAAGTAAACGCTACACACGGCAAATGTTGTTGCGCATGGGACGTGAGTTTTTCGTTTGCCAAGAAGGAGAATCTCTTCTCGACATGCTCATGCAGAAAAAGTACTCCCTCTCCACCACGAACCTGGCACCCGCAGAGCGCCATGGCGGCTTCCAGCTCGTCCCTGATGATACTCAACATTCTCTGGACGCCCTCCTGCCCTCCCACAGCCAGTGAGAAAAACATGGGCCTCCCTAGAAGTACAGCTGTCGCGCCTAGGGTGGGGCGTACGGGGGGTTGAGGGGGAAGGGGGATCAAAGGAAAAGAGAGAAAACCAGAAAAGAGAATTGCGGAAACAGGCGAAATCGGTGGCGTACATGCGAGCCGAGAGAAGTAGGGAGGGGGTAAGAACACAACGGTTCCAGTGGCGAAACAGCCATGGCCTAAGGTTTAGTATAACAGACAAATACACACGCCCTTAGCGTGCACATGTAACAGGCCAGACGTGAACTAGGCAGTTAAAGCTGTATCCCAAAGGCAGTCTTCGACACGAAAACGATCAACTGCTTCGTTGCCTCTGTTGTGTTACTGGCATTTCTCTACACCAATTGGTGAGGTGCGAGATGCATCGAAATTTTACAAGCTGGCAAAATAGGTCCGGGTTCGAGGTTGTTGTGGTGGATTGAGCTAGGGCCGCCGCCACCGCCGACTAAGACGTACCTAGCGCCAGCGCTTTGAGGACATCGGTTCCCCTGCGCACGCCCGAGTCCAAGAATATCGGGACGTTTGCACCCGTCGGGACGGACCGCACCGCCTGCGAGGTTCAAGACGCACGTCAGGAATGGTGGGGAGGTACGTTGCTTGCCCATCGACAGTACTCGACAGTACTACAGGAGGTCCTGTCCGGCGCGCCCAATGCACGAAGCCCGTGGCAGGAGCGGCACACAACAGCACGGACACTCGTTTACGTGACACCAGCCTCACCGAATCAAAAGAAACCCGACTGCCACGTGGTATGCAACAAAGCGCAAACAAGCATGCTTTTCGGGACAGCTGACAGATTGTAAGAAACCACAATCGGGCAGAAGTATATACCTGGTACAACTACTAGCTTGGCTTGCCACGAGGTCCTACTAGTAGGGTAGGCTCAAGCCGACAATGTAGTCCGAACCTGTGGCCTTCTTGTGAAGTTCAACCCGGTCTCGGCGCGCGACAGAAACAATACCGGTATCCGAAGCACGGCCCCCCCGACATCATGCGCGTGGAATTTGCCAAAGTTTTCGCATGCGGTTCACAGATGGTATCGACAAGTTCACCTTGACCACCGGGGCGAGGCTCTCGATCGAAGACAACGATCCGTCCAGTGCGCGCCCCCCGTGGTTGCTAACGATTACCCCGCTTGCGCCGGCTTCAACAGCCGAAACGGCATCTTGGGCGGTCAGAATCCCCTGTAGGAAGCACATAGGAAGCACAACAACACAGAGGTATGAAGGACAAGACAGGAATTTGGGGTCGGTCGAGTTGAGAATGAGGGGACAGCAGTGAAGTGTTGAGGGAATATTACACCTGTTGTTTGACCCATTGTGCGAAAGGAGTTTCCCTACCAACGCCCAAGTGCTGAAGTGCTTGTGGGAACACCGAAATCTGCGTAGAATTTTCCCCCGCCTCGTTGAGTTACCCACCCCTTCATTAACCCAACGAAGCGTGCCGTGCAACTGTGAGTTGTCTTTGGGACAAAATCTTCGGGTAAACACGAAAGCCACACCCCGTCTTGCACTGTTTAGGCCAGGAAGAAAAACAAAATGTATCGGATGAAATTTGTCCATGAGACAGGTCTAAAACCTCCCAACCATTTCTGCGGTCCTGACATTGCTGCTTGATGTGTTGCTCAAAGATGTTGGCTGTCTCCGTTGGTTTGTCATCACAACGCACGTGAGAGAGAGCAAGAGCGGCAAGCGTTCGCGGGCAGAATTGGCTCCTGGGTGTGCTTTCCAACGCGCTTGGCGATACACCCCCCTCCACCAGTTCTAGGCAGATGAGCTATTTCATCAACCCTGCTGCTGTTGACCGCCTGGGTCGCCTAATAGTGAGGCAAATTCATGGCGTATGTTGTACTCTCGACCCATACGTGTAGGTGACGTCACCTTGACCAGAATCGGCAGCGACGTGAGCGACTTCAACCAAGCGATGTCCGACCAGGTAGCTCTTCCGACGCCAAGCGGGACAAAGAACGAGAAACGAGGCATGGAGGAGAGTGGCACGACATATTCCTCTGAGTTACATCGGGCATGGGGGCAATACCCTTCGGAACAATCGACGAACTCATCGCCCCCGGCCAACTTCAAGCGCACATGTGGATATTGCTGAAGTCCGCTGGCAGAAAGCTGGAAGGCGAAGAGTTCTGCGGTCCACACACACACAAGCAAGTTGGCATCAGAACAGCGGCTGCTTTCGGCAAGGCTTACCTTTCGTCGAACAGCTTCTCCGTGTTTTGGTCCCACGCGTCCTTGACCCTGTCGTTATAGCCGTCCTTAGTTTTCCCCGGAGAGATTTGACGTTATTCGGAGGGAAGGTGTCGTTTCGCGGGGAAGGGATGTCGCAAGTTAGGCGACCAAAGAACAAACCTGACTAGGAAGCGACAGCTGAAAGCACGAACCAAAACAAATGTTGACGAAAAAAGGAAAAAGGGAACCAACGACGTGTATCGAGACACCAAGATGCCTCGCCATTCGTAACACTGATTGAAGGGCGTAGGTGGATTGAACAGCAGTAAGTGCTTGTGGTTCTTCAAAGGCTCAACCAACCCTTTTGCGGCGCCAGCCAACTCTGCCGGGATAGTTCTTGACTAGCGCGGGCTGTTTCGCAGGGTGAGGAGAGAGGCACCACAATACCAAACGAAAATTGCAAGGGCTTCGACATCGGGATCGAAGTTCTGGGATGATTCCTTTTTCGGTGCACACCTGCGTCGGGTAGTTGGCCAACGTGACTCCTGGTGGGAGCCCGTTGAAGTTATTGCGCCAGTCTGCCTCTCTTGACCCAAATCTCACGCTGTCAACCGTCAGGCAAATCGCCGTGTAGCCAGCTTTTTCGGACCTGGTGGACAAAGTAGTTCCAGATTTGCTTTTGATTTTGCTTTCACTTGCAGTCTAGAAACAGGTGTTTTGAACCGGTGTTGTTGCGGTCACTATGGTTGGCACCGCCATTGATGCGGTGGTTGCGAGGCTACCCAGTAGATGACACGTACAAACTGCACTTCATGAGCAGTCAGACTCATTGTGCGTTCCATGAAGGATGCCAAGAAACTATCGGAACCAGTTCTTTATCAATGCAACAACCGACCAAGACCTAGTGTCCGTCTACGCAGCGCAACAACACAAGTGGCAACAATCGCTCCCCCCGGCGTACCGCACGCTGCCAAAAGTACCTCAGACACGATCGCAACGCTATGATGAGAGCTTTCGGGGTTTCTGTTGGGTTCGAAGGTCAGATCCTCTTTCGCTCCTCTTCAATCCGTCATCCTTACCTGTACATTCCATGATCGTATCATCTCCCCCGTTGTGTTGGTTCCATTCTTGTGGAACGACGACAATTATTGTCTTTCTTGAACTGAAAGACACCTTGCCGAGACATGCACCCGCAACCAACACGAGAAATACGCTGCTAACATACGGCAAACACACGTCTATGCCTGTACGATCAAGAAAGTCAAAGTGTGTCATCCCGAAACAAAAAGCATAATCTCGTTTTGGTACATCGCAGTTCAGTCAACGGAAGTTTTGTCCGGATGAGTGATACTTTTCGTAGCTCTCCTTCGTTTTCACCCGAACAAACATCACGACTTCTCTGAGCACAGACCGAGGTCTACCTTCAACTGTTGCCCCGAGACTTGCGCCCGTTTCCATTCAAGTCACCGGCTATCGTGTTAATTCTCGCTGCAGGCACTCCCGGCGTGCTTGCACGTACGAACCTCCGCAATATGCCGGCCGTCAATTCCCTGTCCTTCAGGATGTACAGCTGAAACCACCGGGCACACCGCGGAGCCGCGGCCGCCACATCTTCCAACGACACCGTGGCGTGCTGGGAGACCCCCATGAGGGTACCTGCGTCAATCCAACGGTAGAGACCGAAGAAAGGCCCAGGAACAAGTTTACTAGAATACAGTACCAGTAAGTGTAGTTGACTACAACAGCAGTAATAGCTATTCTCGGTATTTGAGGACCATCTCCATGCTTGACATCTCTCCACCAAGTCGCCGTTCGGATCTACGTTTCAGGTCAGTTCAACCTGTAACGGTCCACGCGTTGGGGTCGATCCCGAAGCAACAATCACGTGAAGTGCACGACACGCTTTGTGCTGGAGGTGCTTCCCGAAAAACAAGTAAGTGGGGGGTTTGTCATCTGTCTCACCGGCTTCAGCGCAAGCTCTCGCCGTCGCGCATTCCCCCTCGGGGTGCATGAGCTTGTGCACGCCTGCAACGCGTGTAGGACAGTGCAGCGGCCCACAGTCGGGAGCGACCAACAAGGTTCAGGTTACCATTGTCCTGGTAATGTGGTGGAGGTGGAACACAAGAAGCGCTTAACACAAATAAGTCCGAGCACGGAACTACCGTTGACACCGGTGGCGCCCACCTCCAAGCTTGAAATTAACGGCATGCATTAAACGAGTAGGTCTGCAACCGCGCCGTAGGTGCCCCCCATAGGGCCCGCCTCCCGCCGTGCGCGCGTCCGCCAACTGCTGCGAGGAAGAAAAGCTAGCTTTCCAGACGGCAAGTGTTTGCCCTTACATTCGAAAAGAACATACTTCATTGACCTTATAAACAGTAGCAGAGATGAAGCAGTCCACAAGACAAGAACAGAAAAAGGGGGGCGAGAGAAGAGCCGATGTGAGAGAGAACGAGGAAAACGTTGAGGGGATTGGGGGTGAGGGAATGTTCCACCCTTTGCATTCTATCGCGCCGTACTCGTTTATCGCCGAGAACAACAACGACAACAACTTGTGCGCACGTCTTGAGACCGTCGGCCATCCCCCTTCAAACGAAAGAAAAACTTACACCGACGCTATATTTTCCCCATCAGGACACCTCCAATCCAGAAGAAACAGTTTCAGAGGTTCTGTTCCGAAGCAAGTATGCTGCCCCCCCCCCCCGTCCAAATACACGCACTTACCGGCCGGCGACACGAAAACCGGCATCGACAACCGCTGCCCGAAAACATCGAGCCGCAGGTCAATGTCGGACACGACTCGCATCATGCGCGGCAGCAAGAACATGCGCTTGAAAGCTTGGCGGTTCTCCGATAGCGCTGCGTGATTTTCGGGGTATGAAAAAGAAGAATTGGTGAAACATCACATATCTCATCTCAGCCGCTCTTCGAGTGGGCTGTGGGCAGCAGTACTAAATAGGTGATGGCGGCCGTAGGAGATGCCGTTTCAAGCAAACATGTTTTTATGAGTCAATAACTATGCCTGTTGGTGCGAGTGCCACATATGAGTCGATTCTGACCGCCACCACTCAACCACTGGCCTACACAGGAGCGTCAAAACGCGACGGTAATGGAAACACAGGCCGTCGCGAGGCTGTTTAGCTGGGTCGGAAAACAGACTATCAACACTTCTAGGGATATGTACATGTACGTTGTGCTTCAAAAGTTCTAAACGCCGCCGGTGCGTTTGGCACCTACTTTGCTCATCGTCCGTGCCAGAAGCGACGTACTCGTACAGAGCCTTCCCCAGGATAGGCTTCGCTGGCACATCAATGTCCGGTAGTGGCAGAGGGGCAGGTATGAGGGGCGGGTAGACAAACACGAACAACGTGAGGTCTGAAAAACAGTGCACAGCAGCAGCACGATAGTACCGCGCCGCGAAGATTGTCGAGGAACAGCGCGATGCATGGGAATGGGACTGTCAGGCCGCAGAGAGCAGTCGGTGGCACACAGCTAGGTAGCCTACAACGTGGCAACACTGGATAGCGTTGAGCCTGGTGGGCCGCCTGTTTCCCTCCCTTCCCCCCACTTTTTCTCGCTAGGTCTGAAGACCTTGCAGATCAAACGAAGCGATTACTGAAGCAGGCACCACAACTAACGCCTTTTGTGACCGTGTGGGTGGAGCGCATCACAAGCTCCGGTCCCGCCTCGAGAATCAATACCAGGCAGTAGTCCGGTTGTTCCGATACTCCACCAATCAAGTAGACTCGAAGGTTTTTGGAACAACACAGCAGTGTACCGACGCCCACGAAGCTTTAGGAAAACCAAAGGGTTGGTTCCGCCAGTAATTTTGCAACCTGTTAAACAGTCACTCTTCCTATCTAAGCAGTTTCACGCCCTCTGATTGGTCCGGCGTTGGTACCTAGCCTTGACGCTCTCCAGCGCCCTCTCGCCGTTCCAGGCCGTGCTTTGGCCTTGCGTTAGGGTTAGGGTAGATGTAGGGTGAGGAACCTAGCCTTGCTCGCGTGAGGAAACTAGCCTTGCAAAGTGCAACATCGGTTAGACTTAAATAGTCACGAACAAGTGTAGCTAGACCTCCGCAGTCGTGCCTCTAACTTACGTGCTCAGGGGAAGAGTCGAAAAGCACGTTGTTGATGGCAAAAACTTTGGCGAGTCATCTCGCTTAGGAGAGCCAAGCTACGGTAGTGGCCCGCACTGAACTGGTGTTAATTTGTCTGTGGCAGTAATCTCCCAAACAAGCTTTCTTGCGGCTGCCGGCTAGGTTGGGAAATGGAATCCCGTCGAGATGTGGTTCCGCGTCTCGTAGACTATCTCGTTTCTCGCCGCTACATAGTCTATATGCTCCCCAAAACCCAAAAACAATTAATTAAATCAAACACCCCCATATAATAATTATGTCTTAATATCGATGGATTCGTTGCGTCGAAAAATTAAAAATAGTTCGAGTCAGCAGCATCGCAGGAACAAAACAGGCAGCGGCGGACCTGCCTTACACGAGCACGGGCTTGCGTTGCATGCATTGGGTTGTTGTGGGAGTTCAAAGAAATTTACTTCGTGTTTTTATGCATAGAGAGCGCGACAGAGTTAGGAATTACAAGTAAGACTCGAGGGAAGGGACTGAACTTCCATACGCCACACGCACACAACGAGGCGCCAATGATTCCACGAAAACAAACAGAGTCTACATGGTACTTGTTCTACCCTACAGAGGATTTCTCCGATGACTGGGTTGCTGTGTCACCCCCGATGTCTGCGGTGGATTACCGGGACGCTGTGCTTGTGTTGCTCTTGTGGGCACAACAAAGAACTGCTGCCGCTGTTAGGTTTGCTGGGTGCGTTTATCAAAAGTTGTATACAATTGTACATATAGTAGCTGTTTACGGGTACCGCACAGTATTGAGCGGTGTTCAACTTGCATGTACAATACGTACGTACACCCAGCCGGACCGAGTACCACCACACACGCATCAAAGCCCGCGACCACAGACTTCATTACGTGATACAATCAATAGTTGAGGCAGCTTTCAAAACGCTTTCAAAATGGTACATGGTTGGCTGTTGTTCGCGCAGTTGGAGGGGAAAGGAAGCATCCGCGGGCGCCGTGACACCAAAGATCCGTTCTCGGAATTGTATTATGGAGACATGTTTGGCTAACCTTGTCGTTGGAAGTCGTCCAAGCTGATACACCTCGAAAGATCAACAGGCACCTTCTTCTCGGGGCTGCCCATATCCACCACTCACACGCAGCGTATGTGTTCCGGCAGCGCTCGATGAAGGCGGGAACAACTTCAAGCGTGATATCATGCGTCTTGTGTTCGTTTGTTTGTTGGCCATGTCTGCAGCGTCCCAAAGCGTCCCCGTTTCATCCCCGGTATCGTCCCCCGGCCCCGCGTAGAGGTGAAAGCTATTTCAGTTTTTGTCTGTGGACAAACACTTTCTTAAATGATGGAAACCCCGGCTCGCCGACCCGCGGACCCGCGGAACCCCCACACCCCACACCACGCGGAACAATACATGTACCAGAAGTAATCACACCACGTGAATTGATAGCTCGTGGACTTGACTGAGACTGGCGCGGCAGAGGTTTAGACCAGGTGGTCTAGGGTTGCGGCAGTAGCGCCGACTGCGACTCCGAGCACTCTAGGAAGGCGCGCTCTGCGGGAAAGAAAGATAAGAGACACGGACGTGTGCAACAGATTTAGTCTACAGAAGTGGAGCCTTGACTCGAGGGGGACCATGGCGATGATGGTGTGCAGCCTGCCGGAGTGCTACAGGCCTCGCCACCAGCGGCGCGGTATTATCCACGACTTCTGCAGCAGGACCCACGCTCAAGAGGCCGCCGACATGGGGTTGATCCCACCGCTCCATCGTCCTCACGGCAGGTGTCATGTGAGGCCGGCACGACAAAAGGCAGAAGGATGGCCAGACATCGCATGTGGAGGGATGCAGAATTTATTGTTGCGCCATATCCATGCATGTATGTTGCCTACTCCTACAGCAGTAGTCTACATGCATACTGTGCGCAAGATCACAGCAGCAGTGAGTATACGCCGATCCCCCCGAGCAATCCAGCAACTGCTGAAGACGTAGGTGCGAATCTCTGTGCAAAAGAGGGATGACTGGTAGATACAGCAGTGGTGTAGGCACAAAATCATGCAGCCCTGCTACTTCCGCAACTCTATGCAAGCATTATCCCGCTCCTATCATGTAGGTGCAACGCAAAAAGTGTATCTACTACGTCAAGGATATGTAGTAGTCCCACTATTTTGCAGCACTGCTGTTTGCAAACAGGTTGTGGGTTCTCTCGCTCTCTCTTTGGGGGGTTTGAGCACAAATTCGCAGAAACAGCTTTCAATTCCGTGAGCATATAGGCGGTCAAAGGAACACAAGTTCTTTATTCCGGAGGGAAAACTAGCGAAGTTGGAGACAATCCTCACCGAGGCACTCTGGCCCGTGGAGTTATTTCGTTTCACGCGTTGGAAAAGCTCGCAGGGAAGTGTACAAGCATGTCAGTCGCGTGTCCAGCGGCAGCTCTATATACGCACCACATGTACAAGCACATCGGGATATTTCAGAGAAACGGCGGACGGAAGAGAAACATGGACATTGACGTCCCCAAGAACGGCGGTTTGCGCTTTGAGATGGAGAAGTGGTTGGAGGTACGAGATAGGATGAACGGAGCAGCGTGGTACGCAGCACGGCACCAAAAACTGACGATAGTAGGGGCGTCGGACGCATCGTCGTCCGGATGGGGCGGTGTGATTCGATGCCCAGGCGAACAAGTGTTTCGCGTAGCGGGTGATTTCCCAGACGATTGGACAACACAGCACATTAACGAGCAAGAAGCGTACGCGACTTCACAGCTCTTGGTCTTGTATTGTCAGCAAAGACCAACAAAGGTGCAAGGTTCGACGTTGGTCGTGGATGTAGACAATCAAGCTATTTTCTACGCGTTGAGAAACGGGAAGTCTGCAAACACTCGTTTGCACGAGACTGTGGCAGAGTTGTTTTGGCTACAAGTGCAGGCGGATTTCACCCTCAACGTGCAGTGGGCGTGTCCGAAGGCAAACGCAGAGGCGGACGATCTGTCGCGTCCAGACGCAGATGCGTACGTTCGGTTGGAGGAAGACAAATTCGCAGAATTGTGGCTGTGGGTTGGTAGACCTTTCGACATGGATTTGATGGCCACAGCGGCAAGGCACAAAACATACCAGGAAGCGAAAGGCAGCTACCGTTTTACTCGAGGGTTTACAATGAGGGATGCGCAGGCAGTGATGTGTTGAGTCAGGATTTGAGGTGTTTGCCGGGTTCCGAGAAGGCTTGCTTTGCTTTTTGTTTTCCACCAACGGCAATTGTAGGAGTGGTGTTACGTCGCATGGCGGAGTGTGGAGCGCGAGCGGTTGTGATAGTGCCAGACCAACAACAAACCTGGTATCCGATGCTGGCAGACGCCACAGTACGGTCTTACACGATAGCCGAACAAGCAGAGGGATCGGTATTCTATCGAATGCACCATCAGCGAGGGAGGTGTCCTTTGCTTTTAAGCGGTGGGCGATGCGAGCGGTGGAGGTGAACTTCGCCGATACATAATTGGATGATTACCGTCTTACGTTAATGTGTGTATCAGGCGCTATGGGGCTTGTTAACAGCGGCGAGGCTCATCTTGACTATTCTGGAGAGGTGGTGGTCGGGGACGGGCCAACAACAACAACAATACCGGGGATCATCTATCAACCATGATCACTTGATCGAGGTGTCACCAGCACGATCAAGAGTTTTGTGTCCGCACTCGGAATGTTTAGGTGAAAACGATGAGCGATACAGGTATTGCCAATGGTGCGCGAAGGCTTGTACAAGTTCAGGTCAGAATTCTACAGTCGGTTCCTTAAACATTGACGAGGCCGCTCTAGCCAAGAGATACAGAGAAATCAAGGAGGCAACGGCAGATACCGCGGCGATGAGGAGCAGATGTGCGACAATGATTACATGCACGCAGTTTCTTCAGTCGCGAAAAACCGGGAGTGTGGTGTCTATGACGAAATCTCAGCCGAGAGATATCGTTGACTATCTTGCTGGTTAGATGCCTGCGGCAAGAGGAGACGTACGGTAGTGCACGCAAGGCAATGTCAAGCGGTCGGCACTTCAAGCTTAGACGCCTGTTCAACCGAGCAGGGAGCGTGTACCAAGAGGTATGCTCAGTATTCTCTGAGAACGAACCACGTGTGTGTCAAAATTGGCGGTGGCTTTCGAGAAGGAGTTGGGGTGCACGCACGATTGGGACAGTCAACGACGAACAGGAAACCCAGTGAGAAGCGAGTTGTTGACACAGTGCGTGCGATTTACAACGAAGCAGCAAAAGCAAGCAGGGGTACTCGTAAAACAAGCGCCAGAGATGTTGCGCAACCATTTGCATCAGATACTGGTTCCTTTGAGGGCCGAGCTCGATTTTACGACATCAGCGGAGAAGAGGGTGACCTTGGCCCAAGATATAGCTTTTTTCACAGTAAGTAGCGTTCAGTACGACGAAGAGGGGAGACGAGTGGTAAACACGTTCATACAACGTATACTGCGGTTACCCAACAAGAGCGGTCTATTGTTCAGTTTCCAATGGGAGAAGACGCAGCGGATGGGGCGGATGACGTGTGATCTGTGGAATACGACTCGGAGTGTCTGCCTTTGTGTCCTGTTAGTGCGGTAGAGCGCTACATAGACATGGGAAGAAGTGTGGGTTGGGATATGAGTACAGGCTAATTGTTCTCAGGCATTTCGGCGAGTAAGACAGGAAAGAAGTCGAAAAGGGAGCCCAGGCCAGTGACGGCGGCATACATGACAGCAATGTTGAAGAATAACGCGAAAGGAGTCGGGTTGGAGCAGGAGTTTTGGATGCATTCGTTCAGGGCAGGGGGAGCCATTTCGAGGGCCCTAGCCGGAGAATCCCTTTCGACAATCATGCAGAGGGCGTTTTGGAAAAACCCGAAGACGGCATGGAGGTAAATGAGGCTCGTGGAGGTGGTAGCTCCAGGAGCGAGAAGCGAAGGCATGGTAGAAGACATGACGGAGGACCAGTACCGGGAGTTGAACCAGTTTCCACTAAGCGAACAAAGTCGTTCGTTGGCTGCGTTCGGGAACACGCCGTTACTCTAGGAAAAGAAAATACAACGAATAATACTACGTATAGTATAGTTGGAACAAAGAACACCTTCAACTTGGCATCTGAAGGATGTGGAGTTAGTTTTGGAAAGGGTGACTTCACCAGCCGCGGGAGGTGAAGCCGCTGTCTTATCCCACACTACAAAGTATAGGGGAAGAATAAACGGTCACAGAGATACTGCTGTATTGACGCGAAGGAGATGACGGCATCATGGCTACATTGTACCGGAGTATAGAACACGCAACGGGGATTCGGGAATCAACGCCGCGTCTGTGCACACGTCGAATCTGAATGAAAAATTTCGTGAGTGTTCAGTATGAGGCATTGTGCGAGATTCGCTTTCTTTCGGAGCTTATGTTTGCGGGGTGCCGCCCCATGCAACACATCCACTTTTTCTAGGTTGTACGTCGTAGACAGGTTTGTGGTTGTATTTGTTTTCCAGGTGTTTCTGTGCTGGGCGTCGCACGAGTTTACTCCGGAGTACGAAATGTGCAACATGAATCCAAAGATACGCATCATGCCTCTTTGATCCTCGTATTCCATGTACGTACTGTAACTCTGGGGGTGAAGACTTGGAACACGTTTCAAAGAGACATCTGGAATGGAATAGTTCAATCTTTGTCATGCATATCCATGTTAAAGTTTTTTATAGGCCCGAACCAACTTCTCTTGTCCGCCACGGCGACCCTTGCGGCGACCCTTGCGGCGACCCTTGCGCGCTCCGCATGGTATCTCATGATACTTGAGACAAACTCCTTTTGCAACAGCAGTACGTCTCAACTCTCTAACGCAAACACACGCACGCCGATAGAAGGGACGTCCGCCAGTTGACTCGCCTCCCGCTGCCCCCCGCCTCCTGACACCCCCCCCCTCCCCCCCCCCCCCCCATCCTGGAACCTCACTGGTGTTTAGGTCTGTCAACTCCACGGCTGCAACACGGAGGTGTTTTTCGACGAGGCCACCAACACGGTGCACGATTTCTGTTGTCGCAGGCACGCTAACATGGCGAGGGCTCGCGGGCAGTGGCCCCGCCCTGGGATGCAAGGCTCCTCTGTCTGCCAATACCCCGGCTGCAACGAGTGGGTCTCCCGCAACCCTGAAACAGGAGAGGTCAGCGTTTTCCTGCTATCGTGGCAAATAGTAAAATTTTTTGGGAGGGGCACGGGTGGGGGGGGGGGGGTCTTTCCGGTGCATGTGTCTCGTGGACACTGATTCACGCATGTATGTACTTGCCTACGGATTGAGCAGACCGTACTGTGCCGGTACATACCTCCGACTGTGTGCACGCGCGTGCGTGTTTCGTTCCTTAGCATCAATCAGTCTGCTATACCCGAGAGGGACTTTAAAAGGTTGCGAGAGACCACCAATATTTGCGACAAGCTGAGGTCGTCGTTTCGGTGGCCCTTTTTTTCGAGAGGCACCTTTACACTCCTGCGTCATAAACAATGCCACGGAATGTAGAGCATGGTCGGCCCGCCAGGGCAGTGGGGAAGTGGGCAGTGCTGTATTGAAAGTTCGGAGAACGGGCGCAAAAGGTGTCCCCTGAATTAAAACACACTGGATTTTGCGCACGTGTCGGTGTTGCTACGCCTCACACCGGTTCGTTGTTGTCTCAGGCGATCCGGGACATCGTTTTCGTCTCCTCACATTCGCTTCTCCTCACATTCGCTTCCGGCTGGCTGCTAACGTTGACGTGCTCTGTCCTGTCCGCTGTGTATTTGTGTATCTGTCTCACAGGAGTCTGCGTTCTGCAGCCGCTCCCACTTAGAGGCCGCGCAGGACCAGGGAGCGCAGCCTGCAGCGGAGGAGCCCTTGACCGTCTGCCAGAACGTTCGTTGCCAAAGGTACTGTAACGCGAACGAAAGTGAAGACTGGGGGGGGGGGGGGGGGGGA